AAAAAAATCATGCCACCTGCTTTCCCCTGACAGTTGGCTTCTTTACAACAGTAATGAAAGCCAGAATATGATGTAGCGACATCTTCACCTTGCTAAAGAAAAATAACCCTCAACTATGCATTTTATATTATGTGAAAATATCTTTCAAGAATGATGGGAGGGGCCAGCAGTTGGTGTGGTGGTTAAAGAACTGGATTCCCACATGGCCAACTGCAGTTCAAGTCCCAGACATGATGGCTTGAGAATCACACTGGGCAAGTGTGTGTGTGTGTGTGTGTGTGTGTGTGTGCCCAAAATCCTGGGAGGAGAATGGAGAAGGGATTGTGACATGGCCATTCCCCCTTGTGGGGGGGTAATTTCTCGCTTTCCAACTCTCTGTGGTGAGTGCACATACCTTATAGCAAAAAGAAAAGAAAAAAAGAATGATGGAAAATTAATCATATGGTTAGTCATATAAACAGTCAGTGAGTTGACCAACTTCTGGTTCTCACTATAGAATCTTCGATAGCATAAATTTCAGGTAGAAGAAAATAACCCCAGATGGGAGGTCTGAGTATCAAGAAGTGAAGACACAAGAAATGATAACTATTGGAGTAAATGTGAGCAAACATTGACCATATAAAACAACAATAATCAATGTATTTAGGGGATTAAAAAACATAAAATTGAATTAAAATACACAACAATAACGGAAGTCAGGCAAGGAAGAAAATTGAGTTAAAGTACTGTTTTTTTGTTGTTGTTTTTTTTTTTTTTTTTTTTTTTGATGCTTTTTGGAAAAGTGCAGATTTGCCCTGACATTTTTTTTTTTGAGAGGTTTTTTGCTATAGGGCATGTGCACTCTCCAGAAAGACAGAGAGAGACAGAGAGATTGAAAGTGAGAAATCACCCCCAGGGGGGATGGCCACACCGCAATCCCTTCTCCTCCCGGGATCTTGGGCACGCACGCACACGCACTTGGAGTGATTTTAAGCCACCAGGTCCAGGACTCGAACCACAGTTGACTACATGGGAGTCCAGCAACGTAGCCATTACACCAACTGCTGGTCCCAGTACTCTAAGGTTTTCAAACTGTTCAGGATGACATGCAAACTTGTGAAGTGTTCCATATTTTTGCAGGAGTAAAATAATTTTATATACGGTTCTTATTAAAAAGTGCTAAAATGAAAAAAGAAAAAGACTATATAACTTCCTAAATTGGTAGAGGGGAAAAAAATGGAAAGAGAAAAGATAATAAAAAGAGGTGGGAAAAAAATGAGACAAGTGAAAGCACAATATGGTAGAAATAAACCCAATGGATCAGTCATTACAATGTGAATGAACTGAATGTTCAAGTAAGGAAACTAAAAATGTCACCCTGGGTTAAAAATATATCTATGCAGTTGACAAAAGTCACATCTAAAATAAACATACCAGAGGATTAAAAAGACTGTCTTACCATTTATTTAGATCTCTATTTTTTTTAGAATTATTTTATTTCATTTTATTTATTCATTCATTTATTTTCATTTGACCAGAGACACAGAGAGAGAGAGAGAATGAGAGAGGGAAAGTGAGAAAGCAAGTCGTCAGTTTCGGGACTCAAACCGTGGTCAGCCATGTGGGAGTGTCCAGCGCCTTAGCCACCATGCCACCTGCTGGTCCCTTAGATCTCTAATTTTTTTCAGTGGTGTTTTGTGTTTTTTAGTGTACAAAATTTGAACTATTTTTATTTAATTTATTTCCAAATATTTTATGCTGCTTGATGCTATTTTTAATGGGATCATTTTCTTAACTTCAGTTTTGGATTGTTTGGTGCTAATATATGAAAATACAATTGGGTCTGTCCCCATAGGATGGTGGTTAAGCACCATGCATTGGGTACCAGGTCTCATATGGCCGACTGCAGTTCGAATCCTGGCTCTGATGGCTCATAAAATACACCGGGCACATGTGTGCACATACCTAAAATCCTGATGGGAAGGAGAAATGGAGGAAAGGGAATGCTGACCATGCCCCGCTGGGAGGCGCTCTCTCTCTTTCTCTCTCTCTAGCAAAGGCACAGCCTTTTCTTTAAAAAAAAAAAGAAAGGAAAAGAAAAAGAAAACTTTTCGCATATTGATTTTTAAGAGTTTTTTTTCCCTTAGTATGTGTGTGCTCACTGTAGAGAGAGACAGAGACAGTAAGAAGAAATGGGAGAAATCCCCCCCCAGTGGGGACGGCCATGCTGCAATCCCTTCTCCTCCATTCTCCACCTGGGATCTTGGGCACACATGCACACATGCCCTGCATGATTTTCAAGCCACCAGGTCTAGGAGTCGAACCACAGTTGGCCATGTTGGAGTCCAGTGACATAAGCACTTTGCCACCAGCTGGCCCCTTGCATATTGATCTTCTATCTGGAACCCTGGTGAACTTGTGTATTACTTCTCATTTTTTATGCCATAGGGTGCATGTGCATGCCACAATCTTTAATTCTCTGTCCCATCAGGATCCTGCATATCTGTGATGTTTTTCAAGCCACCAGGGCTGGGACTCAAACCCTGGCCAGCCATGTGGGATCCAGCATCCTCTGTGAACCACTTAGCCACTGCTAGTTGAGCCCAGAACATGGGAGCAGAAATAAAACATGACAGAAGCAGAAGGTATGATTGCTGGTGCTCTTCTTTCCATCCATGGCTTCTCCTGCTGGGCCGAGCGCAACCACAGGAGCTCCGATCCACGTGGAGATGGTATCGGAGTGGAGGAGTCTGGGGTGCCACGCAAACACACAGAGGAACGCTGGTGTGGAGAGGTACTTGGACCTAGCAGACTGCGTGTGAGTGAGAAACATTCCAGTTAGCCACCAAGGTTTGGGTATTTGTATTGCCGCAGAATCCAGCCTACATGAACACACCTAATTTCAGTCATGGTGGCATTATACATTCTTGTAGCTGGGGGAGTCATCATTTCCAGCCAGCGAATTCTGAGTAGAGGTGACTAAGCAAGGTGGGTCTTCTAGGAAAGGCCTTTAAAGGACATGAATTCCATTAGCTTCATTAGTTTCTCTTTTTGGCCTTCTTCTTGACTGAAATGTAGACATGATGGCCGGAACCATGGGAGTCATCTTGCGAGCAAGAGGACTAGTGACCCAACCCATGAGTGCAGGGTGGAAAGAGGGAAGAAGAGGGGACTCTGATGACATGGTGCAACACCATGGTCTGGACTTACTACTGCGGGGCTTCTCTTAGGGGAGAGGAAAACAAACTTTAGATTTGTATAAGCCACTGTCTTCCGGGTTTCTGTTCCCCAGAGAAATACGACAGAATACAATTTCTGACTGTCATGGTAGCTATTGAAGTCATTTTTGTTCTTGGAGTATTTGTACTAAAACGACTTTCTCACGTTTTTATTGTGGAAACCTTCAAACATACCCCAAAGGAGAATGCGCAGTCACCATGCAGTTTCGACAATGATCAGCTCACGGTCCGCCATGTTTCTCTGATAGCCGCCACTGTCTCCTTCTGGCTGGCTCTTACTGTGGGTCCTGCTCTCTCATGGGTGCCACATTGCCCTCAGCCCACCCCTAACAGACGAACCGTGCATCCTCAACCCCAGACTAGGCCCACTTTTAATGATACCCACGGTCCCTCCCTGGGCCTCAGGTGACAAGGTCCCCATGGTCTGTGCCTTCTTGTCTCCATCCTAGGCCTGTTTAAGATCGCCCGTCCTTTGGGGACTTCTTGCCTCCCACCCTGGGGGCCCAGGGATCTTGGCTACTTCCCACCCCATTGGGGAGTATACAGAGCTCAGTGGGGACAGTCCCCAGGCCCCATACCCTCCACCTGGGCACCTCCCCCATTTCACTCCTGAGAGTCCAGACAGGCAGTGCCCTCCATAACCTGGGTGTACATGTGTGCACGTGTGGTCAGCCGATGTCGGCCAGCCCACCCGGACCACGGGGCAGGCACGGCAGGGGCCATGGCCATCATATTTCACATTTGCCAACGGGCAGAGAAAGGCAAGGGACACGGCAGGGTGAAGCCCCTGCAGCTGTGTGATCGGAGCCGCGGCCGGTGATGCATCAGGTGAGGGGCTCGGGGGGCACGAGGTGGGCACCCTGGGGTGGGCACCCCAGGGCATGGAGACAGACGTCACCTGGGGTCCTTTCCCAGGGCCAGTGGGAGCTGCAGGGATGAGCCCTCATGTACTGAACTACCTTCTTAGGGGGTCAGCAGGCTTTCCTGATGGGAGGGCCCGGGGCCATAGCTCTTGGGAACGTCACGTCACCTGGGGAAGGAGCAAGAGTGGGGACACCACAGCCCCTAAGAGGACTGGCAGGGCCACGGTCCCAAAGCAGCAAGCACACACTCCCTCCCACTTCCAGTGTCCTAGGGCATACGTTCCCAGGGAGGGTCTGACACAGCCCAGTTCCTAACAACGGTAGCAGGGTCTGTGAGGCCTGCTTCCGAGAGGCCCCTCCTCACCCCTGCGCAGGAGGGAAGAATGGTCCCCTGACCAAGGCCAGCGCTGGCCACTCACCTCCCAGTTGAAGAGGAGCCTTTCCCCTGACTCCCCTTCCTTGCCACTCATTCCCCTTGCCTGGGGCACCGATGGTCACCACCCGCAGGTCCAGACCATCCCCGACTTAAGAGTCTTGACCATTAGAAGGAGGTGAGTGAGACCTTCGGGGGAGCTTCCTGCCTGGGCTGGCCCGAGTGGCCACTGCTCCCACGTGTGCCTTCTCCCTGGGACAAAACGTCCCTCTGCTTCCTTCTGAGCAGAGGCTGCGGTAACACGAAGCCCAGGGCCAACCCCCGCCACGGAGAGAGCTGAGACCTGGCTGGTCTAGGCACCAGAGCTTGACCTGGGCCCTGGATCCTTCCGGATGCAAGACTGGCCAGGTGTGCCATTAGGAGCGGGGACCTGGGGTGGGTGCCCTGGGGACAGCGGTTCTGGGGGACCTTTCTGGGTGGAAGGCAGGAAAAGAAGAGGCTGGGCCCCCTGGGGTGGGTCTCATCTCCGGAGGGCGAGTCTGTGGTCAGTAAGTATCTTTATTGGGAGAGAAGATCCAGTCTCCTTGGGACTGCCAGCGCCCTAGGCCACGAGGATTTCGATGTCGAGCTCCAGCCGGCTGGCTCTGACCTGGTAGCGGCCCCTGATCAGGCCGCGGCTCTGGCTGGCATGCCAGCGCCAGTGAGACTGGATGACGCAGGCCGCCTGGCGCGCCTGGAGGAACCGCCTCCGGGCCTGCCACATTCGAACCTGCGCCTGCACCTTCACCACTGCCCACTCCTGGCAGGTGTAGAGTCTGAGCGCCAGGCGCCGTCTTTGCTCCACCATCTTGGCCTGCATCGACCGCCACCAACACTGGATGACCCAGGCCCTGAGCGCAGCGTGCAGTAACGTGCGGCGCACCATGTTGCCGCGCCACCAAGACTGAATCTTCATGGCGGCCTTCTCTGACTGGTCGTGAGGGAGGAAGAACGTGGAGATGCTCAGGGGGGGCGCCCTCCCGCAATTCCTCTCCCTACCTCTGGTGCTCGGGAGAGCTCCTCCTCCACTCCCCTTCCAGGACGTGGGGCACACACGCGCACACTCCCGGCGGGCGACCTGAGCCCCCGCACCAGGACCCAAACCACGCAGCCAGCCATTGGGATCCAGTGCCCCGACCTCCATGCCACCTGCTGGTTCAGCCCTGCCTGTACGTTCCCAGGACCCCGTCTTTTCCCCACCCACCCCCACTCACCGTTAGACACTGCTCATCTGTTGTGCAGATCCCTCCTGTAAGGGCCTCACTCGCATTTTGTGTATCCATGGCCCAGGTCTTCAGAGCCCACTCACCTACCATGGAGGCCGCCCTGGTCCTTAGCCCCGCCCTCAACTGTTGGCCACGCCCCATCGCTAGACCCCGCCCACCTGCACACACCCTTCAGGTCATCGGGTCCTGTGCGTCCACATTTCAACCACATTCCCCTCTTCCCTCGGTTCGTGCCTCCTCATGGACTGACCAGTCGCTTCATTAGTCCATTCCTACCATTTTGAGAGCTGCCTGTTACCTCTTTCCTTCCGTTTCTTTCTCGTCGGAGATACAGAGAGAAACAGAGAGACAGAAAGTGAGAAATCACCCCCCAGGGGGGGATGACCATGCTGCAATCCCTTCTCCTCCACTCTCTTCTTGGGATTTTGGGCCTGCTCGCACACACGCCCAGTGTGTTTTAAGCCACTGGGTCCGGGACTCGAGCCTTGGTCAACTACGTGGGAGTCCAACAACATAACCATTATGCCATCTAGTGGTCCCTCCAGCTTATTTCTCAGACTCAAAGAATATCTTTTTGTGTGTGTTTCTGTTATAAAGTGTGTGCACTTGCCAGAGAGAAAGAGAGAGAGGTGAGAAAACACTCCCCCTGGGGAGGAGGTGGCCATGCCACAATCCCTTCTCTCTTCTCCCCTCTGGATTTTGGGCACACACACAGGTGCCTGGTGTGTTTTTCAAGTCGCCATGTCCGGGACTCGAACTACTCAGTCAGCCGTGTGGGATCCAACACCTTAACCACCGTGCCGCCTGGCTGACCCCTCCATGGATATTAAGTCTCAGTCTTTCTTCACCCCCCAGTTCCTTTTGTGTGGTTCTCCTGGTGCCAGTGAAGAGAGTCGAGCAGCTTTCCTACAAGTAAGGAGCTTTGCCGTAAGGCCACTCCGGCCACCAGGGATTTCCAGATGCTTACGTGCGGGGCTCTAGGGAGGGGCTGAGCAGCGCGTCACAGGATTCTAGGTTTTGTGTGAACTTTGTGAAAGCAAGAGGTTCTAGCTGCATTCGGGCCGTGTCTGTTTTTTTCTGAGCCTCTGTCTCTTTTTTGATCCTCTGTCCTTGTCCGTCTGCAGGTGTGGAGTGGCAGCCTCTTTCGGGATGTGACCAAGGGGAGGATGAGTTGGGATATTGTTAGTCTGAGTCTAGCAGAATAGATCTGTGTGGTTTACGACCACTTTAATATATATACATACATATATATATAATTTCTTATTTCCATTTATTTGTGTATATTCATGGTGTACATGCTTTTTCAAGCATGCATGCAATGCGTGATAATCAAGGATATTGCCACATACATCATTTTCTTTTTTAAAGAATTATTTGATTATTATTATCTTTTTCAACTTTTTTCTATAGGACATCTGAGCTCAGCAGAGACAGACAGAGAGAGAGAGGAAGTGAGGAAGCATGCCGCCAGATCTGAGACTCGGCCGTCGGCCGTGTGGGAGGGCCGTCGGCCGTGTGAGAGTCCAGCACCGTTACCACCACGCCACCTGCCGGCCCCTAGAAATTTTTTTAATAGGTGTTGAGATGCCAGCAGGTGGTGTAGTGGTTAAGGCACTGGACTCCCATGTGACTGACTGCAGATCAAGTTCCGGAGCCCGGCAAGTTGAAAATCACAGTACGTGCGTGCCCAAAATCCCAAGAGACGAATAGAGGAGAAGGGATTGCAGCATGGCCATCCACCCAGGAGGTGATTTCTCACTTTCTCGCTCTGTCTCTCCAGCAAGTGCATGTACCCTAGAGTAAAAACCACTCTCTCTTTAAAAAAAATAAATAAATAAAACCAAAACGAGTGTTGAGCGATGAGAGATAAGGCGTCCAACTTTATTTTGTAGATAGACCCCCTGTCATTAAAGAAGCCGTGGTTTTCCCCACAGACTAAACCATCACCTTTATCGCTTATTAAATTTCTGTACTGGCATTTTTTTTCTCTGGTTTCTCCACTGTGTTCCGATAATTTGCATCTCTATTCCTACTGCCTGGGGTACAGTCACTTTATAGTGGTAGGCTTTGGCTCATTTTAGGCTACTGGGCACCTGAGCCCGTCCCCATGTTTGGGGCTCCTTCCCTATCTTGACGGGAGACAGCCAGTCACTAATTACAAGGCTGAAAATGCTGTTTCCTTGCTCTCCAGCCCCCCCTGGTGGTTGGGACAGATGTGTGACTGGGTTGGCCAATCAAAGGTTCCCCCAACTGGGGGAATCAGGACAGCATTCTCTGTGCTGGTGGGGACCCCCCAGGGGCTGGCTCTGGGGTGTAGCTTCCCTTAGAGCTGCCTGTTCTCTGAGCCCCAGGAACTGGGAATATGGGCTTTAGAAAGCTGGACTCTCTCTTGGGACTGGCAAGTGGCGTGGTGGTTGGGGGGCGCTGGACTCCCATATGCACGACTGCAGTTCAAGTACCGAACCTAGCAGCTTGCTTTCTCACTTTCCCTCTTCTCTCTCTGTCTCTATCTGGCCAAACAGAAAATGATCATGATAAATAAAGTTAAATAAAATAATTTGTGTTCAAAAAAGAAGAAAGCAGGCAAGCTGGCACTCTCCCCCAGAGCCCTGGGAAGGGTCTAGGCTATGCTGGTGAGTCCCTGGGCTTTCTGAACCACTTCAATGCTGTTTCAGTATATTTATTTTCTGCTTTGCTACGTATGACTCAGTTCGTGTGGGGTAGTTAAGAATGACTAATATACAAGCATTTGTGCAATACATCCTACTAATTCAAGGGCTGTCTGAACTCGCCGCTGGATTGGGTCTGCTCATATTTACGCTTGCATTCATCAATCAGATTGGCAGGTAGTTTTCTCTTCTTGCACTATCCTAATCGGATTTTAGTATCAAGTGGAAGCTAGCTTTTGGTGAATATTTCTGTAGAAAAAATTCCCACCATAGAGGTGCTGGGTCAAAGAGCTGTGCGCGTTCCGTGTTTTTTTGTTTTTAAAGTTTTTTTTTTTTTTTTTTGGAGAGATTTTAGCTATAGGGCGCACGCACTCACCAGACAGACAGAGAGGAACAGAGAGACAGAAAGCGAGAAATCACCCCGCAGGGAGGATGGTCACGCCGCAATCCCTTCTCTTCCATGCTCCTCTCAGGATCTTGGGCACGCACGCACACGCGCCCGACGTGAGTTTAAGCCACCGGGTCCAGGACGCGAACCGCGGTCGACTACGTGGGAGTCCAGCGACATAGCCATTACACTAACTGCTGGTTCCCGCTTTTTAAAAAGTTTTTGCTATAGGGCAAATGTGCTCACCAGAGAGAGAGAGAGACAAAAGTGAGAATTCAGCCCCCATGGGGGATGGTCACTCACAATCTCTTCTCCATTCTTCTCTCAGGATTTGGGGCACACACACACACATGCCCGCTGTGTTTTTCAAGCTCCTGGGTCCAGGACCTGAACTGCACACTTGGTCACGTGGGATCCAGCACCTTAACCTCCACACCACCTGCTGGCCTTGCATTTTCAGTGTTGATGGATATTGTCGACGGCTAATGGGATTTTTGCCAATTCACAATAACATATTACCTGCCTGTTTCTCTCCCTCCTTGCCCACATAGAGAATTTGTCACCAGTCTGTCCTTTAATTTTTTATGGGTTTGCAGCATCTTGCATATGTTCAGAATGTTTTTCCCCACCTGTTCCTTTCTCTATGAACTTTCTGTTCATATTCTTTGGGTAAGTGGTTGGTTTTCTTCTTCTTTCTTTCTTTTTAATTGGGGGAAAGTCCTGGTTTAACCTTTTAACCCACAGTGACCCGATGATCTAGAGGTGTACGCAGTTCCCTTTGATAATGGTTGCAATGGCTGCAGAAACTGGAAAAGACCCTTATAAAAGCTGGCAAGGAAGACGGTATTGTTGGCTTTGCCTCCAACGTCGATATATTCACTTTCCAGTTGCAGCTACCAACTAAGAGGTTTTTAAATGATTATTTATTGAAGTTGGATTAGAAAATTCTGTATTCCTTCATGATGACCAGCTGCCCTATAAACCAATCAGAGCATATCACGTTTTTATATTTTTAGCAAACCGATTCCAAACCTATGTACAACTTTCCTGGGGAGAGAAGTGAGTGATCAGTAGTCCAGGAAATTACTTTTCCAAAGTTCTAAGTGTTTGGTCTCTGAGTTTTTATGACTGATCCACATTCCTCTTGGTAATTCAATGGCATTTTAAAAAGGAAACATTTTTAAGCCCGTTTTCCAAAACTATTTCCTACGGTGGCTTAGTTTGCTGGTGAGGCGCTCCCTCTAGTGGCGAGAAGAATATCAGCACCAGAGTATCTTGGTTGCTTGCACCTGCCAGTTAGTAATATTCCATTTGGGGTTTTCTTTTCTTTTCTGAAAGATTTTTGCTATAGGGCAAGTGCGCTCACCAGAGAGACAGAAAGTTAGAAATCACTTCCCGGGGTGGGGAGGATAGCTAGGCCACAATCCCTTCTCCTCCCTTCTCCTCTGGGTATCTTGGGCATGTGTGCACATGTGCCTGGTGTGAGTTTTAAGTTGCCAGGTCTGGGACTCGGACCGTGGGCGACTATGTGGGAGCCCAGCGGCATAACCATCACACCATCTGCTGGTCCCCAGTCTGGGGTTTTCTATGGGAATCTCTTCATCAACCTGCCCAGGCGGTAAGGGTTGGCATTGTGAGGACTAGACACTGACCCAGAAGCCTTTTCTTTTCTTTTCTTTCTTTTTTTTGGGGGGTGGGGGAGGTTTTCGCTATAGGGCATGTACGCTAGCCAGGCAGAGAGAGACATAGAGACAGAAAGCGAGAAATCACCCCCCAGGGGGGATGGTCACGCCGCAATCCCTTCTCCTCCATTCTCCTCTCGGGATCTTAGGCACGCACGCACACGCGGCCGGCGTGAGTTTTAAGCCACCGGGTTCGGGACGCAAACCGCGGTCGACTATGTGGGAGTCCAGCGACATAGCCATTACGCTAACTGCTGGTTCCCAACCCAGAAGCCTTTTCTCAGTGCACAGCTTAGCACATGGCACCTCCCCAGTTCTTGGAAGGCTCCTGTGTTGGTCTCAGGAGAATGCTACCTTGTGTCTGTCTTATTCTGTGCTCTTTTTTTTTTTTTTTTTTAAGAATTATTTTATTTGGGCTGGCAGGTGGTGTGCTGGTTAAAGGAGCTGGATTCCCAAATATCCAACCACAGTTCGAGTCCTGGACCTGGCAGCTTGCTTTCTTGTTTTCCTTTTCTCTGTCTCTGTCTGGTCAAATTTAAATAATAACAAATGAAATCAATAAACTAAATACTTTTAAAAAGAGAAGTATTTAATTAATTTATTTAAATTTCTCCAGAGAGAAGGAAAGTGAGAAAGCAAGTCGCCAGATCTGGGACTCAAACCATGGTCAGCCAACCATGTGGGAGTCCAATGCTTAAACCATCACGCCACCTGTAGGTCCCTTTATTCTGTGCTTTACCAAACACCTTCAACAAGACCTGGCACATCATAGGGGTTCAAAATATTTTGAATGGATGAACAAACATTTGAACAAAAGTTCTGAGCTTAGTATTACTTGGAAGCCCTGACTTGGCTCTTGGGCCATGGGCAGGCACTTGTCTGTGACCTGTGTAGGGGGCGGGTGCAGGGGGAAAGGGTGGAATTTATTTAACTGGCTTAGATACAATGTATTCACTCAATTCTTATTTATTGAGTACCTATTATGTACCAGACTCTGTTGCAGGAGCTGGAGTCCTAGCAGTGAATAAAGCAGGCAAGATTTCAATGGTAAAACTTGTTATGGAGATGGGGTGAGCTGGTGGTATGGTGGCTAAGGTGCTGGACTCTCACGTGGATGACCACGGTTCAAGTCCCAGACCTGGCAACTTGGAAAGCATGCCAGGTACGTGTGCATACATACCCAAAATTCCAGAAGGAGAATAGAGGAGAAGGAATTGCAGTGTCATCATTCCCCCTGGGGAGTGAGTTCTCACTTCCCCTCTGACTGGCTCTCTCTGGCATGCACGGGCACCCTATGGTAAAAACCTAAAAAAGAAAAAGACAAGAAAACTTGTTATGGAGAAAAATTGAACAGGGAAGGGAGGTAATACGTGTGGAATGGAAGGACAGTCTCGGTTTTTGCAGTTACTGCTTTAACTTCCCAGAGGGTGTGTGTGCTCACCGGAGAGAGACTGATACCGAGAGAGGGAAAAATAGGAAGCATCTCTGTGGGGGACGGTCACCTGCAACCCCTCCTCCTCCGTCCCTTCCTCCTTTCAGAATTTGGGGCATGCATGTACAAGTGCCCTGCATGATTTTTAAGCCACTGGGTCTGGGACTCGAACTGTGTAGTCAGCCATGTGGGATCCAGCCACCTTAACTGCAATGCCACAGCTGGCCCTGAGGTCTCTGTTTATCCAGGTGGTCAGAGGAAGCTCCAGGAGGTGCAGGAAGGCAGGAGGAAGTTGAGCAGCCATCTGGGGGCCAAGCCAGGGTCCAGGTACTAAAGCAGAAACGAGCCCAATGTGTCTGGACCCGGGGCTACTAGGAAATGTTAAATTACACATATAGCTCACAGATTATATTTGCAAAATGTGTTGTATTTCTTTCTTTAAAAAATCATTTCATTTAATTTAATTTTATTATTATTATTAATTTTAATATGCGATAGGGCACATGCATTCACCAGAGAGAGACAGAGAGAGAGAAGCTGAGAAAGGAGGCCACCTGATCCGGGACTCAAACTGCAGTCAGCCAGGTGGGAATCCAGTGCCTCAGCCACCATGCCACCTGCTGGCCCCCATGCATTGTATTTCTATTGCACAGTGCTGGTCTAAGGTAATCACTAAATGATAGAAAGAAAAAAAAGGAAAGAATTTAACTTCCAAGTTAGTGAGGTTAAGGGGTGCAGGGGAAATGAAATAATAAAAAGCAATCAAGCCAAAAGAGGAAATAAAGGACAGAGAGGGGGAAAGAATTAAAACAGAACAGGTGAAACAAAAGGAAAACCAATAGCAAGATAATAGGCGAAAGCATAAATATACCAGTAGTTGGATCAGACATGAGTGGGCAGGACTGTCCCGTAGTACGGTGATTAGGTGCTGTGCGTTGGGAGCCAGATCCCCCATGGCCGACTGCTGTGAGTCCCAGCCCTGGTGGCTTGAGAAATACATGAGACGTATGCGTGTCCCCAAATCTTGACGACGTGAGAAATGGAGGAGAAAGTATTCCAGCATGACCACATCCCATCACGGGGTGCGCTCTCTCCCTCCCAGCCCCACCTTCTGTAAGTGTCTGTGCTCCCGCCTCCCACACACATGCATGCACACACAGTCAGAATGGATTTAAAACAACAGCACGCTACATATAAGAGACACTTCCAAAATACAAAGATTTCCAACGATTGAAAGTAAAAAGGTGGGGCCAGCAGGTGGCATGCTGGTTAAAGAGCTGGATTCTCACATAGCCAACTGCGGTTCGAGTCCTGGGCCTGGTGACTTGCTTTCTCACTTTCCCTCTCTCTTTCTCTACTGAGCACATGTGCCCTATAGCAAACTTAAACATAATAATAGTAAATAAATATTTTTTATGAAAAATAAAATACAAAGACTGAGGAGCTGACCCCATAGCATGGTGGTGAGGGAGCCGGATCCCACATGGCCAACCGTAGTTGGAATCCTGGCCCTGGAGGATTGAAAACACACACTGGGAGCACTTGTGTATGTACTCAGAGTCAGACAAGATGGGGGGATTGCAGTGCAACTGCTCCCCACAAGGACGCGCTCTCTGTCTCTGTCTCTGTCTCTCCCTGGTGAGTGCATTAAAAAGAAAATAAAAGTAAAAAGATTAAAAATTACAATATATGCAAATACTTATCAAAAGGAAGTCAAAGCACATCAGACGAAGCATATTTTTGTTGTTGTTTTTAAATTTTTGCTATAAGGGCACATATGTGTGCCAGAGGGAAAAGGAGAACTCACCTCCCAGGGGGATGAATACATCGCAGTTCATTCTCCTCCATTCTCCTCTCGAGATTTGGGGCGTGCATGTACACACATCTGGTGTGTTTTCTGAGCTGCTGGGTCTGGGACCCGAACTTTGGATTTGTCCATGTGGGAACCAATGCCTTAACCTCCACATCACCTGCTGGCCCCATAAAAAAGATCATATTTTAGGGGGACTGGCAGGTGGTGTGGTGGTTAAGGGTGCGGGGCTCTCATATAGCCGACTGCGGTTTGAGTCCCAGACACAGTGACTCCTTTCTCAACTCTCTCTCTCTCTCTCTTGCTCTCTCTCTCTCTCACTCTGATCCCTCTCTGGTCAAATTAAAATAAATAAAGTTAAGGGCTGGCAGGTGGTATGGTGGTTAAAGGTGCTGGATTCCCACATGGCTGACTGCAGTTTGAGTCCCAGACCTGGCAGCTTGCTTTCTCACTTTCCCCCTCTCTCTCTCTGTCTATCTCTGTCTGGTCAAATTTAAAAAATAATAACAAATATAATTAATTAATTAATTAAAAGTAATAAATAAATAAAGTTAAATAATAAAAATAATTATTAAAAATTATATTTTAAGGTCAAAAGCATCTAGAAATAAAGATGCTCACTTTAAGGGCCAGAAGGTGGCATGGTGGATAAGGCACTGGACCCCCACGTGGCCAACAGTGGTTCAAGTCCTAGACTCAGTGGCTTGAGTGGCTTTGTTTCTCACTTTTATTTTCTCTCTCTGTCTCTCTTTTGTCAAATAAAATAATAATAATAAATAAAATAATTCTTTTCTGTGAGAGATTTTTGCTATAGGGCACGTGCACTTGCCAGGGATATGGAAAAAAGTGGAGAGACAGAAAGCGAGAAATAACCCCATGGGGGGGTGGCCACACTGCAATTCTTTCTCCTCCGTTCCCCTCCTGGGATCTTGGGCACACAAGCACACATGCTCAACATGAGTTTCAAGCCACCATGTCCAGGACTTGAACTGCAGTTAACTGTATGGAAGTCCAGAGATGTAACCACTACATATCTGGCAGCCCCGTAAATAAAATAATTCTTTAAAAAAAGATGCTCGCTTCATAAATGATAAACATTTGCTCACAGCACAACATAGCAATTCTACATTCATATGCATCTAAGAACCTAGATTCAAAAATATATAGATCAAGAATTGACAGAACCACAGGAGAAATATCCACATAATGGGGTGAGACTTCCCAACATGTTTCTCAACTTCTGAGAGAAGAAACAAGTAAGAAAGGATATGGAGTATTTAAACAACACAGTTAACAACACTGGCTTGTTTTGCATGTGTAGAACACTGCATTCTACGACTAAGAAATCCACATGATTTTCAAAATCGACCATAGGCCGAGCCATCGAGCAGGTCTCTGCAAACTTCAGAGAATGTAAAAGATACAGATTACATTCTATGACCCCAGCTGAATTAAGCCAGACATCCATCATTGCAAAGACAGCTGGAAAATGCCCAACTGCTTGGAAATGAAGCAAATACGCCTATCGAACTTGAAAGTAAAGAAGAAATTAAAATAGTCATTGGAAGACATTGGGAGCTGAACGATCACAAAACACAGCATATCAAAAATCATGGGATGTGGTTAAAATGTGCTTAAAGAGATTTATTATTTTAAATATAGGCATTAGGAAAGGTAGAAAACCCAACTTAGCAAATTACAAAAACAATTTAAACCTAGTCAAGGTAGGAGAAAATAATAGAGATAAAAACAGGAGAAGAGGCCAGCAGGTGGCATGGTGTCTGAGGTGGCTGGATCCCACGTGGCCTGGGGACTGAGAATCACGGTGCGTATGTATGTGGCCTGCGAGAATGGAGGAGAAGGGACTGCAGCGTGGTCATCCCCCCGCCCTGGGTAAGGAGTGATTTCTCTCTCTCTGGCAAGTGCCCATCCTCTATAGCAAGAACTAAATAAATAAACAGGGATAATGAAAAAGGAAAACATGATCAAGGTAAAAAAGTAATAATATCAGGGCCAGCAGGTGACGTGGTGGTTAAGGGCTCTGGATTCCCACGTGGCCAACCACGGTTCAAGTCCTGGGCCTGGCGGCTTGCTTTCTCATTTTCTCTCTCTCACTTTGTACCTCTCTGATTAAACTAAACTAAATAAATAAACAAATAAAGTTAAATAAATAATTCTTAAAAAAAAGTAATAATATCAAGGCCCCAGACTCATAAGAAATCTGAAGGGTCTTGGTGTCATGGCCCGGGTTACTCATACTCACATGGCATCCCTCCTCCGGGTCAATACACGCTTTCTCCTAGAAACTGCCCCTGTGAGGAGAACAGAGCAGGTTCGTTCTTTTTTAAAGAATTATTTTATTTAACTTATTTTATTTATTTACTTACTTTAATTAGACCAGAGAGGTACACAGTGAGAAAGAAAGGGAAAGTGAGAAAGCAAGCTGCCAGGTCCAGGACTCGAACTGTGCTCGGCCATGTGGCAGTCCAGTGCCCTTAACCACCATGCCACCTGCCTGCCCCAAGGCAGGGGTCTTCCCATCTTCAACTGGGAAGGCACATCCTCATGGTTATCATCTGCTGGAGGCTGGACACAAACCGAGGACCTGTAGATTTGTGTGGGCACCTTCCCACTCTGTGACTCTCCAAGGAAGGGCTGATTGTTGAGACCCTGGCAGATATGAGGGCTGAGGTGTGCGTAGTTACTTTCCTAAGCTGTTGTACTTGATCTTTTAAGGAGATTTTTGCTATAGGGTGCATGCCCTCTCCAGTGAGAGAGAGACAGAGAGAGAGAAAGGGAGGAATCACACACACACACACCCCCAAGGGAATGATCATGACACAATCCCTTCTCTTCCATTCTCCTTAGGATTTGGGGCACACATGCACATGCACCGACACAAATTTCAAGCCACTGGGTACGGGACTCGAACCATGGTTGGCCATATGAGAGTCCAGCATCTTAGCCCCTATGCCACCTGCTGGCCCCAGTGCTGCCTTTTTTTTAAAGAATTATTTTATTTCACTTTATTTATTTATTTATTTTAATATGACCAGAGAGGAACAGAGAGAGAGAGAGAAAGAGAGAGGGAAAGTGAGAAAGCAAGCCACCAGGTCTGGGACTCGTACCACCATCAGCCATGTGGGAGTCCAGCGCCCTCAACCACTACGCCACATGCCGGCCCCCAGCTCTGCTTTCTAAAGGCTACAGAAAGCAAAGCAGCTGTAAAGATTCTCCTGGGTGGGGTTCACTCAAGTGCCAGGCACCGCCGTATCCGACACCCAGCGCTGATGAGCACATGCTGGTAAAGCCGAGGTGGAGAGGCCGCTGGGATAGAAACGGCTGGCAACATAGAAGGGGGGGTGGTAGTCAGGCTGCAGTCCCCTTGCGTGCGGTGATCAGTCCACACCTCTGCCAAGTGCTGGGGGGCATGATCCAGGCACCAGCCAGGCCCATGCCCTTTTCTGGGAATATAAAACCACTTCCGCCTGGCTGGGTTCCACATCGAAATCCTGGTGTTAAGAGACCATCTGAAGAAGGCTGATTCCTTATCCCAATAAAGCTCTGACCTGCTCTGTGCATGTGTGTGCGTGTATGTGTGTGCGTGTATGTGTGTGCGTGTGTGTGTCTTTTAGTTTTTTTGCTATAGAGCATATGCACTTGCCGGAAAGAGACAGAGAAAGAGAGAAGGAAAGTGAGAAGTCACCCCCTAGGAAGGATGGCCACACCACCATCCCGTCTTCTCTGCTCCCCTCTCAGGATTTTGTGCACACACTCACATGTGCCTGGTGCATTTTTCAAGCCGCCAGATCTGGGACTTGAACCACATAGCCATGTGGGAACCACCACCACACCTGCTGGCTCCCAGATCTGGCCTGTGTTTTGTGTCTCACAAACTCCTTAAGTCTTTACACTCTAAGGACTTCGGATCCAGGTCTCTATAAGTTAGAAAGTTAGGCCCAAGAGCGACATGATTCACGGCAGAGCCAAAGTCCAAGCGCCTGGCCTCAGTGCCGTGCTCAGGTAGCGTCATTCGAGAGTGGACATTCTTTCACATTATCAGGTACACCTTTATACAAGGCTGGGCATTGCCTTGGTAGGGAGGGATGCCCCCACTCATGTGCGTGCGTCTCCTTGGACATATCCCCATGTTTGGCTCCCCTGAGGCATCAGTGGGTATCTATGAGCATGCGAGGCTGGACATGCCCACCCTGGAGTGGATCTCTCCCTCCAGTCAAGACTGAACATCCCATCTATGGCTGGATGGAAATGAAAAGTAATAATATAGTAATAAAAAAAATTAGGGGGGCCATTATCCTAACTAAGAAACCCAGACATGCCACGTGGTATTTAGGTTCAATCCAACACCTTTATCTTCAAATAGATGCTCCCTGCTCCTGTCTCACACCTTTCCAACGGCAGTGAATAAGAGACGCCGTCGTTCTACATTCTTGCCAGCACTTAGTGCTGTCGGTGTTATTTTAGCCATTCTCTGGGATGCCTAGAGGGATCTCACTGTGGTTCTCATTTTTTTCTTTCTCTCATGAGCAATGGGGTGAGGTATCTTTTCATGTACTTAGTATCTGTTGTGGAGCACCTGCTTAAGAATTGTTACAGGGGCTGGCAGGTGGCATGGTGGTTAAAGGTGACAGATTCCCACATGGCCAACCGTAGTTCGAGTGCAAGACCTGGCGGCTTTCTTCCTTTCTCTCTCTCTGTCCCTCTCTGGTCGAATTGAAATAAACAAATGAATAAATACAGTTAAATAAAATAATTCTTCAAAAAAAAAAAAAAGAATTTTGCTGTAAACAAATTCTGCCTCATTGCTGTTCGGTTCCATTGTTGGAACTAAAATATGTACCATTGAGCTTCCTGTTGATGAGGGTTGAATGCGTCTCAACTTACATCTTTATTAACCAGCCTGAAGCGACTTTTAACACCTTCCTGCCAGTGAGTCAGTGTTTCCCGGGCCCTGCCGTTTTAGTCAAATTCTGGCATCCTCTGCAGGGAAGAATAAATAAGACTTCTGCACTTTCACTTAAAAGGGCTCAAGTGTTGGAAGCTATCCCGGGGCCTGAGTCACAGGAGCCCTTATGACATCATTGCTCTCTCCCCTCCTCCACTCTTCCCACCAACGTGTGGCCAGAGGCGTGCAGACCTAAGCATGATGGAACCACCTAGCCTCTAAACA